TGTAAGGTGGGGGAAGGGAATCGTCCCCTCCCCCCACCAGCACGCTCTTAGGGCCTAGAATCTGCTGTCTTCTCTGGAGTGGAAGTAGGGGAGGCAAGCAGGATTCTCTGAACCTTCAGCAGGTGGCATTTATCTGTGGAGATCACCTGGCTTCATGTGAGCCAGTTTCTAGAAGCTTTGCCAGACCTTGAGGCTTTGACTCCCCCACCCCCAACCCCCTCACTGAGGAGGAAGCCAGGAGCCTGCTGGGAAGCTCAGCACAGCTGGGACCTGAAGCTGGGGGCACCTCCGGGGAACCCCCCACTGTGGGTTCCCCTGCCCAGGGCCACAGCCCTTCCCCTCAGGGGAGCTGCGCCTTGCCTGAGGCGGCTGGCCCTCCGCCCTGGGTCCCTTGAGCCTACAGCCTGGGGTTCCTCCACTCAGCCCCTCCCAGTCATTGTCTCCTGTCGCTGCGCACTCCACCTGCCAAAAAAAGGTCCCTTCCTGTTCAGGTCAACCACAGAGTCACAGCCTTTCACATGAGGAAGACACTGTCAGTAATCACACTGACCCAACCTACTCCGCTCAGCTCTTCGGTGTCATCTCCACACCGCGCTGAGGCTGGCAGAATGAGCCCCCAGTACACAGAGGGGAAAATGAGATTACTGGGGAAGGATGACTCATCCCAGGGTGTCCCGCTCCCCTGTGGCAGGCTGTCCCCAAGGCAGCCTGGCTTCTACTTGATGCTGCTGTCTCTCTCCCGACCCCCACCCCCACCCGCACGCCTGGGCATGTCTAAAGCCCATACTGCTAACCCTGGATCACCAGGGCAAGTGACATTGGGTTTAACCTTCAAATGGTTAAAATGGAGGAAAATGTTGTGTGGCTCAAAGGGACAAACCCTCAGGTTCCCAGCAGCCTGGGGGCTGCAGAGAGCTGTGGTTTCACGGTCCACGGCGCAGCACATTCGAGCTGTGGAGACGCTTCTGATCCTGCCTGCCTGCCTTGCCAGTCTCGAATTTTCTCATCTACCCTCCCCCTCTCCCTTGGGGCCTCCAGGAGCCTCCAAATCCCTCCCCCTCCCCAAGGTCTTGATGACCGGACTCAGAGCCAGGAGCCTCCTGGGGGGTGGCCGAGGGGTCCACGGGGCCTCACCTTCCCCTGCATAGGTCATTGCCGTGCTCGTGTCCCTACGGAGAACAGAGAACAGCCAAGTCGGTCTCTGGCCACGCATAAGGGCCTGGGGTCTGAGGACTCAGATGGAAACGGTCGTGGTGCCCGCCGAGCTGTGTGACTATGGGCAGGTCACAGCATCCCCTGAGCCTCAGTCTCTCTTTTGTGAAAGGGGGGCACCAATAGTCCCCACTTCATCAGATGGCCGTGAGGAGGAGATAAAGTACCTGGCACCAGGCCTGGCCTGGCAAGGTTTCATTATTCCCATTTAACACATCAGGGCAAGGGACATACCACTGGCCCTTTATAAGGGTTTATTTCCCAAGCACCTGACAAGGGCTTTCGGCTCACAGACTCCTTACAGTGGATACCCAGCAACATTTGCTTTCCTCTCCTACTGATCTCCAGGAGGTGGCCCTAGCTGGTATGGTGTGGGCCCAGTTGCCCTAGGGAGCAAAGGAGGGGGGGGGGCTGTAAAAGACCTGGGGAACCCAGGGTTCTGCCCCAGAAGGCAAGGCCCCAGTAGGGACTGATAAGGGACTTCCTGACTCCCAGGGGGCCACAGGGGTGCTAGGCAAGAGGCAGAGGCAAGCCATATCCTTGTACTGAGACCCGGCTTGGGAGTACAGAGACCTGGGTTCAATTCCTGACTCCAAAGCTGTGTGACTTGGGCCAGTGGCTTAACCCCTCTGAACCTGTTTTCCTAGTCAGTAACTGATAATAAAGATGCCTCAGTGAAAGGCTCTCTGTGGCTATCATTATCCTCATTTGCTACATGAGATGAAAGACTGGCCCATAGTGGGTATTGAGCAAAGAACAGTGGAAATCGAATTGAGGGCCCAAGGTGCCGTGGTCCTTTCCACTCCAGTTTTACAGTCAGACGAGGGCGGCGAGGGCCAGAGCTTTAGCGACCTGTCCAAGGTCACACAGGATGTGCACATCATTGCCTTCCTGGGACACTCGCTCCTACTTGAGACCCCGAGTGTCATCTTGGCCTGAGGTGAAGCCCTCCCAGGGAGCCCTGAGCCTGACCTGGTGCCTGAAAGGGTTTTCTCATCTCAGAACGGTGGTCCTGAGGACACAGGACAAGACGCGTCTCCTGTCTTCGCTGACAGATGCATGAGGCGATGGAAGCACTTTCACAAAAATACCAACAGTCGAGACGGAGCTGCCCACTGCCGGGCTGTCCAGGAGAACTCCCTGTTCCTGGAGATGTGGGCGTAGGAACTCGCCAACACCGGATGGACAGCTGGCCTTGGTGGTCTTTTAAAGAAAGCCACCCTCCCCATGGCTCCCAGGCAACCTTGACCGTGCTCAGTTCCAACCTCTCCCCTCCATCAGATCAAGCTCAGACTCCTGGACTCGGCCTCTGGACTCAATCATCCTCTTGCCTCACATCTGGGGATGCGGGGGGCGGGGGGGGGGGGTCCTGGACATTTTTATTCATCAGCTCTCTGGGGCCAACCAGGAAAGGGAGGTCATATGTATTAAGCAAGTACCATGGGCCAGGCCTCAGGCCGGGTACTTTGCACACATTGTGGCATTTGATTCTTTACAGCAAGGCAGGACGTCAGGTGATGTTACTCAGTCTTGGTTTGCAGATCCACAAGCTGAGGTCAGAAAAAGCAAGCAAGCTGCCGAAAGTCACACAGCAACATGACTGCCGCAGAGATGAAGGGAGGGGCGCCGAGCACGCACGGTTCTTGGCTTTGAGCCCCCAGTCCCAAGAGGCACCTGCAGCAGGTGGTCACACTTGGTTGCCCATCTGTCTCTGACTCTTGGGGAGCCCCATCCGGGCACTGGGTGAGGTGGAACCCCACAACCTAGCTAACCACAACCACAGCCTTTGGGGGTGTGTGGGAGGCAGGCCGCTGTCCCCCAGCCCGTCACAGCTCCGGCCCCGCCCTAACCCAACCCCGGCCAAAGCTCTGTGCCAGCCCAGTGGTTTTTGCCTGGCAGCAGCTCGGGAAAAAGGAAGAGCTGGCACTCAGCCGGCCTGGGCCTGGGTGTGGCAGGAGCGGGTCGAGCGGGAGAGCCCGGGAAATGCCCAAATCCTGCCCGGGCGCGCTCTGCCCATGCTGCAAGGCTGCAGCGAGGCAGTTGCTGGACATTTGGCCCCTTGGGCAAGGATCTGGAAAGGAAGCCCGCGGAGTACAGCAGAGGTATCACCAATAAAGCCAGCAAGGAGTTACTCTAACACCCACTGGGGCCAGGCCCCAGATCGCGAAGCTTCATTCCGGCACTGACCCCAAGGAGTGGCTACTGTCAGCTTCACTTTACCGGCAGGGACACAGAAGTTCTGTTTGACCGGAAGAGCATGAGGGTCCAGAGAGAGGGCTGGGATGACCAGCTGGGACCTCCAAGGGCACAGATCGGAAGCCTCTAGTGGCTGACAGGGAAGGGGGAGTTTCTACCCCCTTCTCTGTTCCTGCACCCTTTCCTACGCAGCTTCATTCTTACCAGCTTCATTCCAGCTCAGGCCCCTCCTTGGGGAAGATTTCCCTGATCCCCTCCGAGGGTAGGTTAGGTCCCGGAGCACCTGCTATCACAGTTTGTCCTCTCTGAACCGTCCCCATCTGCCCAGGCCTGTCCCCACAGTAAGCCAGATGGGAAGAAGTAAAGAGGGCGGCCATCTAGGGATTCAGGGAACCCAGTTTTGAAGCCCAGCTTTACCCTGATTTACTACAAGGCTTTGGGTGGTCACTTCCCATCTGTAACATGGAGCACCCCATGTCACCCTCAGGGCTGGGAAGAGAAACATTCTATTCTTGGAACTGGGGCCAGGGGCCAGCCATGACCCTTCTCCCCCATCCTTGGGTTGACACCCTGCAGAGCAGAGTACCTCTGAGATTAGGTGGGACCAAGGCATCCATCTAGGAGAGGGGCTGGCTTTGGGGGAAGGTGTGTCTCCACCTCTAAAGTAAAAGACAACAATGCCACGATGCTGCTTATGCACACAGCCCTTTAAACCAACCTGAGCTAGGCGGTTCCTGGAAAAGGAGACCCAGATCCACCCGGACTTAGCTTTGTGGACAGAGTGGGTTCAAATCCCTGCTCCTACAGGCTGTGTGACTTTGGATGGGCCACTTAACCTTTAAAAGACTCAGTTTCCCCAAATGCAAATGGGGACCTTACTAGTGCCAACGACTGGTTTTTATTTATATATTCGCTGTCCCATCCCTAGCCTCACTTTCTCCATCTGAAAACCGGGGACTCAGATAATTCCATTTCACAAGACGGCTTAAGGGTCCCGGAGATGATGGAGGAAGGCGAGTCTGGATACAAGAGCACAATTGGAGAGGGGAAGTGACCTGCCTGGGCTCGTCAGAGGGGATGGCTTCGGTGTGGGGAACCCCCTCTGCGGCCGCCCCAGGGCCAGTGAAGGGTCATTTCCTTCCGCGTTCAGCCCCTGTCACCTCTCCTGCTTGCCCCCCGCCCCCCAAGTGCGGCGGCGCCGGCAGCGGGGAAATCGGGGCCAGACCGGATTTCCTCTGCGGACCTGCGGCTCCTTGAGGCGCCCCTCCCGCCCCTCCGGACCCCGCGGGGCCACGAGCTGCACGTGCGGTGGCCCCAGCGGCCTCGCCAGCCCAGCGCTTCCTTAGCGACCCTCCTCCCAGCCCCCCTGGTCCTTTCATCCCGCCCGCTGCCACCCCTCCCCTTCCCGGCCCGGGTTCCAGCGGAAAGATGCTTCACCCCCCCGCGCGTTCCGGAGAAACCGAGTCACGCGGGGGCGCGCCGGCCGGGCGCTAGGACCCCGCAGCTTGGCCGAGGGGGGGCGTGGTGGGGCGGGTCGGCAGGAGAGGTATTTAAATTGGAGCCCGAGCCGCCCCCTCGCGGGTCGGGTTCCCGTGGGGCAGTGGAGCAGCCGTGGGCCTCCGCGGGCCGTGACCCCGGGATCTGGCGCGGGGTGGGGCCGTGGAGGGGGGCAGATTTGCGCAAAATGTGCCGGGGCTGCGCGGGAGAGGAGCAGCGGCCGCGCTGAGCCAGGTAGGAGCCGCCCCGCGGGCGAGGCTGCCGGCCCCTCGGGGAACCCGCGGTCCCGTGCCCCTGGCGAGCGCGGGGTGCGGCGAGCCCGTCCGGACGCCTCCCGCCCCCCCCCGTGTCCTCTCCCGCCGCCGCCCACTTCGCGCGTGGAGCCAAGCTTGACTCTTCCTCGGCCCCAGGGCTCCCGTCTTAGCTGATCTTTCCCGCGAAGGGAGAGCCCGGCGTTCCTATTTGACAGATGGGAAAACGGGGGGCCGAAGGGCCGGCACTTACTTGCCTGGGGAACTCACCGCTAGTCTAGGGCAGATCAGGATTCGAATCCAAGTCTCCCACCACTCTCTGACTCCCTGGGGCTTCCCATCCCCACCGCACCAAGCAGCTTGCTTGCCCGTCGCTGGGTGGGGATTGGTGGGGGGCACCCACCTTTCCCAGAGGGGCACTGAAGCCGGCCTTCCTCGTGAGTGGTAAGATGTGAGGGACCCCCGCCCCCACCGCGGGCTGCCTGAAATTCCGCCATCACAGCTACATTCCTTTGGGTTAAGGTCTAATTCCCCCTTGGGATGCACATGTCTCCAGAATGGGGCTTGCCCTTAGTGATTCACTGCTTGGTATGATCGTCCACAGCAGCTCTCCCGCGACCCCCTTCTGCTGGTGACTGGGGCTGAGAGGAGGGAGAGGAGCACCCCAGAGCCCAGTCCTGTGAGCCTGTCTGTCTGTGTGTGGGAGGGTGGGCGTGGGGGGTCGTTGGTCCGGGTTAGGGAGGGAGCACTTAGCCTGTAGTGGAGTGTAAACATCTGCTCTGACTGCGGGCAGGCCAGATTCTGAATCCATCTGTGCTATTTACTGTGTGACTTTGGGTAAGTCACCTGTCTGAGCCTCGTTTTCCTCATGGGCAACGTGAGGACAGTTCTGTAGGGAGCCCGCCACCCAGTGCCTGAAGAAGACCCAGCACATGGGTCGTGGAGACCTGGGCTAAACCCCAAAATGCTTATAAGCTGGCTGACTATGGGCTAAGTCACTTCACCTTTCTGAGCCTCAGTTTTCTCATCTGTAAAGTGGAAATTATGCTAACCACCTTGTTGGGTTGTGATTTCAATGAGATAGGATACATCCAGGGCTCAGAAGTAGACATTGCCCCCACTATTTCTCTCTCTGTGTGTGTGTGTGTGTGTGTGTGTCTCGCGTGTGCACACACACAAACACACACTCCAGCATTTCTCCTCCCAGTCAGAGTCCTAAATGTCTCCTGCTTTCTCTTGCCTAGGCTACTGGTGTGCAGGCTGAGGCCCCCCTCCTCAGTGTGCCCCACCTGGGCTGCTCGGCCTTGCGGGGTTCGCCCCAGCTGGGAAAGATGTGCCCAGGGGACCCTGACAGCCATTCCCAGCTTAATCATCACCTTGCGTGGGGGAAGCCAGTGGCAGGACAGGAGCCAGGCTGCTAGCTGGACAGATGGCACACTTGGGCACAGAAAGGTTAAGGGACTTGCCCCAGGAGCAGGGTCGGTAAACAGTGGAATCTGTAAGTAAGCCCGGGTCTGAGTGACCGCAGTTCTCCCTGGAGGGGGAAGAGCCCTCCGATGCCACGCATCGAGTCCCGGGCGCGGGCGGCGGGCGCTCACAGGTGAGTGTCAGTGCAGAGTTCCGCGTGCTACAGGGACGTCTCTGCTCGCAGCACAGACGCCCGCCTTGTGGGTAGGGTGAGATTTGGCAGGCAGGGGGGTGGGTGGCGAGGGCCCCGTTAGGCAGCAGTGCCTTCAGGCTCAGGACCCAAAGGTCCTGACCTTGTCCTGACTTCGCAGCCCTCTGCAGTAGAGCCTCTAACCTGTGTTCTGCCATTTGTTCAATAGATCTTCAGCGAGCACTACTTAAGAGACCCCTGTTCTCATAGAATCAGAAATAAATGAGCAGAAAATGACCAAGGCAAGGAAACAATAAAATGTGTGCGAATCTGGGGAACCAGGACTCCAGGTGGAGGGAGCAGCTAGAGCAAAGGCCCTGAGGCAGGAGTGCACTCGCCCCGTCTGAGAAATGGTAGAATTTGGTAAGGGCAGGGCGAATGGGAGATGCAGACTGAAGAGCGCTTGTGTAAAGCCTGGATTTTCTTGGAGGTTCTCAAGGGGCGAGATTCATGATCTCATGTATGATTTGAAGACCTCACTCTGGCTGTGTATGGAGGGCAGCCAAAAGGGGTCAGGGTGGACGGAGGACGTGTTGCTCAGGCCCAGGGTTGTGGTGGTGCCTCAGTGTGGGGCAGTGATGGAGGAGGGAGGTAGCAGCCCAGGGTCTGTTTTTCAGGCAGAACAGACAGAACCGCTGATGGGGCGTGGGGGAGGTGAGGTATGGCAGGGAGATCAAGGGAGAGCCACCTTGTGTCAATTCTCAGTGCCTCCCTGGCCTGCCTGCTGGTGTGAGATGGATCTCAGGGGAGACTGAGTCCTTTCTGCCCCGGGGCACTGCCCGTAGGAAAGGGTTGGGGGAACAAGCCGGAGAGTGCTCACTGGAAGCACAAGGTCTGTGGGAACCTAGAGGTGGGGCTATACACCGCATAGACTCGGGGAATCCGAGAAGGCTTCCCGGAAGAAGTGGAATCGAAGCTAAGATCCAAAGGATGAAGAGGGATTCAGCACAAGAGAGGGGAGGAAGTGAGGTCTGGGGCAGTGAAAAGGCGCTCAGAGAACTGAAGGCAATAGGAGTCTTCCAGAACCCAGAATGGGAGAGAGGACAGTGAAGAGATAAAGCGGAGGGAAGAATGAACTGAGCAGGCACACTCCCCAAGGGCCTTGAAGGCCCCACTGAAAGGTTTCCACTCAATTCTGACTGTACTAGCTTTCAAATGGGGGGTGATGTTCTGCTTTTTAGACAGCAGAACCAAATTTCCTGTGAAAACAGGTGAGAGGAGAGCAGCTGGGGGGTTGGGGGGAAGGGGGCCATGGCCCTGAGGGGAACCCAGGCAATGGAGTTTAAGAAAATGCCAGCGTGGCCCCTGAATGTTCGGGCCAGAAGGGGCCTCAGAATAGCCACCTTAATCTAAAATGTGTCACAAGGACACCTGGTGGATTCCGAGAGAGACACAGCCCTCAAAGATCCTGTAGATGCCTCTCCTTCTAAAGCACCCTTCAGAGTTGGAATTCAGTGCTCCTTTATTAAGCACCCAGGGGTGACCTTCCGGTGTAGGTCACAGATGGCCTATGCCAGCCACTTGTTAGCTGTGTGATCTTGGGCATGTTACTTAACCTCTCTGAGCCTCAGTTTCCTCATCTGCAAAATGGGAATGGTAATCAGAGAACCAAGTGCTTGAACTCCTGTGAGGACAAAGTGAGTGAATACACATAAAGTATCAAGAATAGTGCCTGGTTTATAACCAGGGCTCTGCAAAGGCACTTTCATAGAATGCATCTCATTTGATCTTCACCAAAACTTGGCAAAGTTGGCATTAACCTCAAAAGAGGAAACTGAGGGGCACCCAGGTGGCTCCATCGGTTGAGCGTCCTACTTTGGCTTAGGTCATGATTTCACGGGTCATGAGCCAAGCTCTCTGTTGGGCTTGCTGTTGTCAGCGCAGAGCCCGCTCTGGATCCCCTGTCCCCTTTTCTCTCTGCCCCTCCTCTGTTTGCATCTGTTCATGCTCTCTCTCAAAATAAAATAAAATAAAATAAAATAAAATAAAATAAATAAACATTTTTTTAAAAAGGAGGAAACTGAGGCTCAGAGAGGTGAAGTGACTTGTGCACGGCCACACAGCAGGCAAGCGGAGGGGAAAGAGAGCAATCAGTTACGGGTGACTGGGTCCAGTGCTCTTGGAGGGCTTTTCGTGTCCTTCCTTGTTAACACTCTGTATGCATTGTGATCACTTCTGTACATTTATTTGTGGCCTCAGTTCCCGGCACAGAGCCAGACTTGAGGAGGCATTCCATTAAGGTGTGAATGAATGAATGAATGAATGAATGAAGTTAATGGTTTGATCTGTGTACTCCTGGCACTTGGCCCAGCTCCTCAGTGAGCATTGCTAGCAGCAGCAAGATGTGACCCTGCTCAGGGCCTCTGTGGCCCCCCTCAAGGCCACCTTGGCTGGCTCTACATAGAGAGGACACCAGCAGGCTAAGTGTCCCCCAGCACTGGCAGTAGCTTCAGTGAAAGTAAAGGGCCTGGAGCCCGCTCCTGGGGGAAGTCCGCAGCGACAGTGCTGGGGGCAGGGCAGAGGCCTCCTGGTGGGGCTTCCTGTCAGGGCTCCAGGCCCAGCCTTCAAACAATGGCAGTTGACTCCAGAATCAGAAAATCAAAAGAAAAAGGTCAAAATAAAAGTCCGGGGGTGGGGGGGATTGAGGAATTCTGTTGAGGGTTCTAAGAAACTAGGAGGGGGGACCTACTTATGACTTGGGTAGAAACGCAGTCAGGGGCCTAGCTCCCTACCTCACCCTACCCCAGTCCTGAGGTTAGCCCAGGGCAGCCCTTAGAGTCCCACCGTCTCCTGCTCACCTCCTCCAGGCAGTCTTCCAGCAGGTAGGGTCTTTTGAAACCCAAATCTGACACAGGCACCCACTCCTTAAAAACTTGCTACCTGGCTTGAGGGCCTGGCACTAGGGGTCCTTTGTGGTAGCCTTCGGACCCAGCTCCCACCCACCTCCACTGTATCTGGGATTCCCTGAAGGCAGGCGCAGACAGGATGGGAGGGGGAGGGGCGGGGGGTCGCGGGGTTAGGAGGGACTGGCAGTGGAAAGGAGCCAGTGATCTTACCGTGTTCCCGGTTCCTTCCCACCCTACACAGAGCCATGAGCCACCGGATCCTGCTGCTCCTGGCCGCGCTGACCCTGGGCCTGGCCACCTCCCAATACCGAGACAAGGTGCCCTGTAAGATGGTAAGAAGCCCCACCCAGGCAGGGTAAGGCCCCCAGGGTGCCCCGCCGCCCCAGCCCCGCAAGCCAGAAGTCAGAGGAGTTAGAAGAGGAAAGGGAATTCAAGTATTTTTAAACATTTTTTATAAAGTTTATTCATTTCTTATTTCGGGGTAGGGGGGAGAAAGAGAGAGAGAGAGAGAGAGAGAACACGAACAAGCAGGGGAGGGGCAGAGAGAGAAGAAGACACAGAATCCGAAGCAGGCTCCAGGCTCTGAGCTGTCAGCACAGAGCCCCAGGCGGGGCTCAAACTCAGGGAGATCTCAGCGAGATCATGACCTGAGCCAAAGTCCAATGCTTAGCCCACTAAGCCACCCAGGCGCCCCAGGGAATGCGTTTAATGCATTTAAGCCTTACATTTAATGAGTACCTACTAGAAGGTTTAAATACCGAGTGCAGTATGAATCCTACTGGGTAAGTACCATTATGCCCATTGTGTGGAATTGGAAACCGCAGTTCAGAGAGGTTAGGTTACTTGTCTAATGCCATTCTCCTAGGACCAGAGGGGCTCATTTCGGACTCTACAGGGCAGTGGACCCATCTGGGTGATGTAGAGTATGTGTATGAATGGGGGACGGGCCAGCTGGGTCCCTCCTGGAGCAAATGTCCTTTCCCAACTGGAGTCCTTGCCTTGGGCCTGTCCGCTGCTTCCCTGATGGGATACCTCTCACTCAATACCACCCAGGCCAAATGCCACCTCCTCCAGAAAGTCTCCCCGGACCCCTCCCAGGCTTCTCGGGTTCCGTTTGCTCCCTTTTTCTGGACCCTCATCCCGAGCACGTGGGGTGGTTGGTGAGTGGGTCCAAGCCTGGTTCTTGTGCCAGACCAAGAATTTCTTGAGGTCAGGGACAAGGGTAGCTTCACTCTTGTCTTTTTTCTTGCCCTGAGCCAAGCAGACTAGCTCTGAAGTCACTGGGACCCTGCAGGATACAGGGAAAAGGGAGCACCTAGGTCCACTTAGAAGTCACTGAGGTGAAGGCCAGAGTCAGGCTGGGGAAGGGACGGGCCCTCCAGCAGCCCACCTGGACCGGGGGCTGGAAGCTCATGGTACAGGAGGGGCCAGCAGCCCTGTCCTGGGCGGGCAGGGCTCTGCTCCTGCCGCCTCCCTTCTTGCCCCTCAGAGCCGTTCTGAGATTCCCGGGACCCAGAATAATGGACAGAGAAGGCCTCAGATACCCCCAAACGCAGCCCCACATTCTACCCAAGGAGACAGGCTCAGAGGGGTGAAGGGGCTGGACCACCCAAAAGGCAGAGGGCAGCTGAGTGAGCTTTGCATTCTGGGTAAAAGTGCATTCAGAAAGCACTTTCTGAACTTCCGTGGAAGATCAATGCAGGCGTCATGATGATTTTCAAAACAGTGGAAAGGAATTGCTACTTACTAAGGGCTTGCGAGGTGCCTGCACCATGCTGAGGACTTTCCCTCGTTTTATCCTGCAAAGAGCTCTTTTCAGCTGAGGACACCGAGGCTGTGAGAAGAGATGCGGGCCATCAGGGTCATACAGACAGGAAGTGACAGAGCTAGGACTTGAACCCAGCTCTCCTGAGCTGGTGCTGTCCACTGCCGGGTGCCTCTCTCTACTCCATTTCCCTTCTATGTGCAGGTGGCAAAATGGAGTTGGGTGGAAAGTCCTCTTCCCTCCTTAAAAAAAAAAAAAGAAAGAAAAAGAAAAGCGGGGCAGCGGCTTCCTGGCATCCCAGAGAGTGTGGGTAGCAGATCGTCAAGGACGGCTCTGAACTTGGCCACATCAGCCAGGCAGGAGGCTCAGAGCTCGGGGAGCAGCGGGCACCCTTAGAGTTCCTTCAAGCTCCCTCCTACACTGGCAGCCCAGAGCTGCTCTGCCAGCCCTCATGGGCACCAGGGTGGAAAGCAAGTCTCAGGTCCTGGGCTTGGTGAGCTTTGTGTCCTAACTCACAGCCACTAACTCACCGTGACCTTGCAGAGGTCACTGCCATCTTCAGGTTCCATCTCCCCATCTGAGAAGTGGGTGGGCCAGAGTCATTTTACTCTAATGGGCTTTGAGTCCAGTTTGAATACATCGACTCTCTCTTTTCTTTCCTTTTGGAAAGGTGACTTTTGACTGGTTCAATCCCTCAGACCTTTACTAAGTCAGAGATGTCCGTGGCCCATTCCTTCAAAAAAATTGATTGAGCACCTTTCGTGGGCCAGGCCCAAGGTGTCCCCATCACTCCCCCCAGTCCCTGTAGCTCTGAGCTCCCACACAGACAGTCACAATCTGGGGCCAAAGCTCTGAGAGAGGGAGCACCAGGGCTCTCTGGGCCGGGGAGCACCCAGAGGAGGCCCAGCCTGCCCAGCTCAGTACACGGGGCTCACCTTGCAGATCTGGGTAGGGGTGGGCCTAACCGGTGCAGGGAACAGCAACGAGGAGGCAGAGGTAGGCGTGGGAGGGCACGGCGGGCACTGGTCAGATGTTGTCACTGCCTATATGCTGGGCCAGGGCGGGGGTGGTTTGGGAGGAGAGAGGTGGGGGTAGGCCTGAACTGGGTAGTTGTGGAAGTCAGACTGTTTCCTGGGAAAGAATGCATTCCTGGGGTCCTCGAAGGGATGAGAGGGATACTGCACCTGCACAGAAAGAATTCAGGCTCCAGAAGGCATATGTGCTAGAAGGACAAAAGTTGGGCCTTTGGTTGTGAGGAGACCCGGCCTCCAATCCCAGCCCTGCCCCTGCTCAGCTGAGCGATCCTGGAGGCTCCCTCCCCTCTCTGAGCTTGGGTTTCCGTAAAGAGGGGTGATCATATTTGATGGGCTTGCTGTGAGGCTCCAGTGAGACCAGGGGCCCAAACATGCTAAATAAAATGTAAAATGCTGAGTTGGTGCTGAGGACGGCTGTTAGTTTCTGGATAAGAAACCAGAGAGGTAATGTGATTTGGGAAGGCTCACACAGCACAATCATAGTCTTGTCACCAAAGAATGTGGGTTGGGACCCAGGCCATCTTTCCCCCTGCTCCCCACCCCTTCTCCCATCTCCAGGGGCCAGCCTGGACCGGGCCATGGGAAGCAAGGGCACTGGTGGAGGTGGGGCAGATAGCAGCAGCAGAAAGGAGGTCTCTGGGGATGGGCAGTGAGGAAGGCAGGCACTAGGACCCAGAGCTCTGCCCCCTGGAATGAGGGCTTTTGACCGAGGTCTGAGGGTAGGAGGCTAACAGGAGAACCAGTGAGGGGAGTACAAATTGCATTTTGGAAACATTTCTCCCCAAATGGTTTTGAGACTAATAGCAGCTGGGTACATTTAACTCTCTGGGCCCAAAGAAGGAACCCAGGACGTGAGCCAGGAGTGCCGGCTTCCAGCATGGCCCTGCTGTTCCCTGGCTTGGGATCACTCTAGGTGAAATGTGGCTCAGTTGCCTGTAAAATGGGATGATAATCAGTGTAGGGTGGTTGTCCTATCTGTCTGTCCTATCTGTCTGTCATTTCTGTGTGTCTCCATCAAACTTCCTTAAGTCCCTCCCTGATGCCCAGAGCCACAGGACTGAGTGCCAAAGGTGGGCGCAGGGGGCTTGAGATGGGGGTCATCCAGGCATGGGATGATTAGGCTGGGGTGGAGGAATGTGGAGCCCGCACGGGGCCTGGCTGGGGTGGTGGTGGGTGGGAGGGGGGTTGAGTCATCCTTTTCAGAAGGTGTGTCTGGTTCCCCCACTGCACCCACTAATGCCCGCTGCTCTCCCTGCCCACCCCGCCCCACGCCAGGTAGACAAGGAGGTCTTGTGCCACGGTCTTGGCCTGCTCCAGGTCCCCTCGGTGCTCCCGCTGGACGTCGAGGCCCTCGACCTATCTGGAAACCAGCTGCAGAGAATCCTGGCCTCCCCCCTGGGCTTCTACACAGCACTGCGGCACCTGGACCTGAGCTCCAATGAGATCAGCTTCGTCCAGACGGGGGTCTTCCAGGCCCTGCCCCACCTGGAGTGCCTCAACCTGGCCCGTAACCGCCTGGCAGCGGGCACTATGCCAAGCACCCCTGGCCTGGGCCCCCTGCCCCATGTGACATCTCTGGACCTGTCGGGGAACAGCCTGTACAGCGGCCTGGTGGAGCGGCTGCTGGGGGAGGCCCCTGCCCTGCGCACCCTCTCCCTGGCCGAGAACAGCCTGACTCGCCTGGCCCGCCACACCTTCCGAGCCACACCTGCGCTCGAGTGGCTGGACCTGCACAGCAACGTGCTCATGGACATTGAGGACGGCGCCTTCGAGGCCCTGCCGCACCTGGCCCACCTCAATCTCTCCCGGAACTCCCTCACCTGCATCTCTGGCTTCAGCCTCCCACAGCTGCGGGTGCTTGACCTGAGCTGCAACAGTATTGAGGCCTTCCAGACGGCCCCAGAGCCCCAGGCCGAGTATCAGTTGGCCTGGCTTGACCTGCGGGAGAACAGACTGCTCCACTTCCCTGACCTGGCCGCGCTCCCAAGGCTCATCTACCTGAACGTGTCCAACAACCTCATCCGGCTCCCCGCAGGGCCGCCCCAGGGTGGCGAGGGCCTCCAGGCGCCTTCGGAGGGCTGGTCCGCCCTGCCCTTCTCGAACCCCAGCCGGAACTCCAGCGCCCAGCCCCTCTCCCAACTCTTGAACCTGGACTTGAGCTACAATGAGATCGAGCTGGTCCCTGAGGGCTTTCTTGAGCCCCTGACCTCCCTCCGCTTCCTGAATCTCAGCCGAAACTGCTTGCGGGCCTTGGAGGTGCGGCGTGCGGGCTTCGCGCCTTGCCTCGTGCACCTGGACGCCAGCCACAACGCGCTGGAGACGCTGGAGCTGGCCACCAGAGCCCTGGGGTCTCTGCGGACCCTGCTCCTGCAGGACAATGGCCTGCGGGCCCTGCCCGCGTACACTTTTGCCAGCCTGGCCAGCCTGCAGAAGCTTAACCTGCAGGGGAACCGGCTCAGGCCTTGTGGGGGGCCCGGCGAGCCTGGCCCCTCGGGCTGCGTGGCCTTCTCTGGCCTCTCCTCCCTCCGCATCCTGAACCTGGCGGACAACGGGATGGAGACGCTCCGGCCGGGTGCCTTCCTCCACACGCCGCTTACGGAGCTGGACCTCTCTGCCAACCCGGGGCTGGATGTGGCCCCGGGCGCCTTGGCGGGTCTGGAGGCCTCCTTGGAGGTCCTGGCCCTGCAGGGCAACGGGCTGGCCATCCTGCAGGTGGACCTGCCCTGCTTCCGCTGCCTCAAGCGACTCAATCTTGCCGAGAACCGCCTGAGCCGCCTGCCTGCCTGGACCCAGGCTGTGTCACTGGAGGTGCTGGACCTGAGGAACAACAGCTTCAGCCTCTTGCCAGGCAGTGCCATGGGCGGCCTCGAGACCAGCCTCCGGCGCCTCTACCCGCAGGGGAACCCGCTGAGCTGCTGCGGCAACGGCTGGCTGGCGGCCCAGCTACACCAGGGCCGCGTGGACGTGGATGCCCCCCAGGACCTGACCTGCCGCTTCGGCTCCCAGGAGGAGGTATCCCTGAGCCACGTGCGTCCTGAGGACTGTGAGAAGGGCGGGCTCAAGAATGTCAACCTCATCATCATCCTCACCTTTGCGCTGGTCTCTGCCGTCCTCCTCACCACCCTGGCCACCTGTTGCTGCGTCCGCCGGCAGAAGTTCACCCAGCAGTACAAAGCCTAGAGAAGCCAGAGGCCGCCGAGCAGCTCGGCCGGGAGCCCTTCCGGGTCAGCTGGGGAGCCTGAGACAGACAGGGGCGGGGACCGACCCAAAGTCACGGGGTCTGAGAACCCTGCCCTCTAAATCCTAGCCCGGGGCTCCTTTCCCCATATGCTGCCGTACTGGTAGGTGACCCGCTTCCCAGGCCACACGTGTGGTCCAGCTGTGGAAGCCGGAAGTCGGGCAGTTTCAGGAGTGACAGAAAATAAGGTTGACCTCTCCGGTCTACAAATCTTCGCCAGGCATCTGGTTTTCGTCACATCCTGCCCTGAGCACTGGGGACGCCGGGTGACCGAGACACATCGCTGCCCTCAGGCATCGCCCAGCCCTGGTGGGGAGGTGGTCGCAAAGCCACGTGGTGACCACACGGAGGCTGGAAGTCCTCCGGAGCTCTGCAGCCCCAGCCGGCTGACTCGTGGGGAGTCCTCCCTCCAGCAGGGCCGGAGCAAAGGAGGGGTGAGACCAAGAAGACTTGTCTGAGATGGTTCCAAGCAGACTGTGGGTCACATCTTCTGATAATGACTTTCAGCCTGTCTGGAACATGAAGAGCTTGTGACCGGAAGAGAGCTGGAGCCGCGTGAATAGGTCTCGGATCCAGCCATTAGGCGGGCTGCAGCGGCCCCCGCAGGGCCTGGTTCAGAGGCGGCAGCCCTGGGTGCTGGCCCAGTGCTAGAGCATTCCATTTCCTGCTCCAAGCAGCCTCTTTCCCCACCTGGCACGCTCGTGGCGCCCACGCTAGCCCCAACGCTGCTCCAGCCCCCCGGTTCCCCATGCGGACGTGCCGTTCCATCCCAGCCCCCGCTGGCTGGCGAGCCAGGAGTTAGAACCGTACATATCTGGTTCTATTTTGCACCCGGCTTGGCGGCTATGACACGTCTGCCTCTTTATGACTACCCTCTGAGGTTGGTATTTTATTCCATCTTACCAAAAAAGCTCTGAAACCCTCCTTTCAGGGTCCTCCGGCTAAGAAATGACGTAAATGAGATGCAGCCTCAAATCCTCCTGTCCCCAGGGCCTGACCTTTGCCACTGTGGGGGCAGGGGACTGTTAGGTGGACAGGAAGTGGACCCACATTGAGGGCACAGGGCCTGAGGGCCATCCTGTGCTATACATACCCACCTACTCCTCTCCCTCCTCTCTCCTAGGCAGGCAGACACGGGTCCCCTCCTCCTCCTCTGCCTCAGTTTCCCTTACTCCCTCCTTTGCAGACTGGTGTGTATTCACCTCTTTCTGTTTTGCTCTTGCGTTCCCTCTTCCTCCATTGAGCAAAGCCTGGAGTTTGAGACCATTGACTCCAACCTCCCCGTTGCACAGACAGGGAAACCGAGGCTGGGGAAGAGAATGGAACTTGCTCAGCACTTCACAAGTCTGTGGCAAAGCCTGTGTAAAAAGTGGATTCAGACCTCACTGGGGGTGGGAAGGGGACTTAGGAGGTGGACCTGAGTGATTTCCTTCTCTCAGCTGTCATATCACAAGATCATGCTGGCTCCAAGCTCTTTCGGGTCCTCATTATGCAGGGACGTTTCCCCCTAGAAAAATGAGTAGGAAAACCCATCTAGGTAGAATCCTTGTCCCTCATACCCATGGAATCATGGCCTGTCAAGGGAGCCCTGTGTTGTTGTCTTCACCGTCTTACCTGTGCTTGGCCCTTGGTCTGGCTCATGATGGTGCTTGAGTGAGACAATGAAAACACCCCTCTCTCCGCCCCATTTTACAGACAAGAAAACTGAGGCTCAGAGAGGGTCAAAGACTCAGGGAGTCAGTGACAGAGCCGGGGTTAGAAGGCGGTGTCCTGGCCCCCACCTGGGGCCCTGGCGGTATGTGGGACAGCCGGGCGGACCCAGCCCTGGTTGGGATCCCAACCACAGGTGGTCAAGGTGCAAAAACACTCTTCCTCAGGCCTGGAGGGCGGGGCGCGGGCCCCTTCCAGCCTGATCTTTGGAAACACTACACAATGCTGCTCTCACCTCCCAGGAGCCGGGCCACAGCCCTGGCCTCGGGACCAGCTCTTTGTATAACCCACATGAATGTATTAAAAAATAATTTTGGAGAAACAGTGTGGCCCACCAGCCTCCTCCTCACCGCGGGTAATTGGCCTCGTGGCATCCACTTGAACCCTGCCCCTCTGTTTCCACTGCGGGCTTTGAATCCTCATGGCGAACCCGTGGGGAGATGGGCTGAGGGCTGTTGAGGGGAGACCGAGCCTCCGGGTCCTCACCACCCTGGACCTTGGGGCCTCAGCCCTCATTCCACAGCCACACCTCTGACCCTCACACGCAACAAGCCCTGACCCCACCCGACCCTTCCTCCTGCGGCAGCTCCTGTTCTTCCCCTGTCGGTGCTCACGCAGGGCCCTGTAGTCTCTTGCGCCCGCCCTCCGGGGCCTCTCACGGGCCCCTCATTTTCCTCTCGCCTCACGTATTCTTCTCACACCTTGGCTGGGTTCAAGTCTGGCGTATCTGAAAAAGAGTGAAAAGACCCTTAAACTACTTTCCCTTTCCTTATCCTGCCTCATGGGTAAACCCCTTGGGGAAGCAGCCCCCCTCCCCTCCATTCTCACCCCACCCCAGGTGCCTTTGCCCCTCGGCCCCCACGCTGTCCTGGGCTGAAGTCACCCAGGGGATCCGTTGCCAAACTCCGTGCACTTTCCAGACTGTGCCTCCTTGACCCCTCAGCTGCGGGGGTGGGTCTCTCACCCCATCGTCCCTGTCACCCACCCCTCCACTCAGCACACTCGCCTTGGTATCTAGGGCCCCCCACACGCGGCCTCCGCCTTCTTCTCAGACCACTCCTTTTCAGACTCTGCTGTGTGCTCGTCTTCCTCGAGCCTTCCGAGCGGCGATCGCCAGGACTCTGTCCCAGGCCCTCTCCCCTCAGGAATACCATCCCCCTCGTTGTTGTAGCCACTCCGTTGCTCTGATGACGCCCACATCTCTGTCTCCAGCCGCGGTCAGCCCTGAGCATCCAACCCTGGTACCCAGAGACCTCCCCAGCTGGAGAGCTGACGTTCTCCGACGGGCCAGAGAATTGAGTGAGTGGTCAGGCTGCAGTTCAAGACTGACCTTGAAAGAAGAGCATTCCTGGTTCCTGGAAGAGAGCTGGAGGGGGTGTGGGCTGTGAGGTCTGGCAGGGGCCAGAGGGTGTGGGCTGCGAGGTCTGGTGCGAGGACAAGAGCCACCTCACCTGGGGTGGGGGTGGGGCAGGCAGGGGCCTCTGACGTGGAGTCTAGAGGGCAGGCGGTCCCCCCCCCCCATTTTCCAGACCCCTGTGCCTGTCCTCATGCGGACCATCTGCCCTTCTCAGCTGCCGGACACCCAGACACTGTCCCCCTGTAGGTGCCTTCTCTCCCCTACTTCCTCTCCCACAAATTCCAGCTCAGTGATGCTCCACTTCCTCCACCTTCCAAGCATCCTGGAGCTTTCTCCAAGGTAGCTTCTCTGGGCTGTGACCTCTCACCTCCCAGCTCCTACTCCAAAAGAAAATTTTATTTTTTTTTAAGTTTACTTATTTATTTTGAGAGAATGAGACACAGAGTATGTGAGCAGAGGAGGGGCAGAGAGAGAAGAGAGAGAGAGAATCCCAAGCAGTGTGGTGCCCAATGTGGAGCTCCAACTCCCAAACCACGAGATCATGACTTTAGCCAAAACCAAGGAGTGGACACTTAACCAACGGAGTCACCCGGGCGCCCCCTCCAAAGGAAAATTTCATGTTTATTTTTATTTATTTTTTTATTTTTTGAGAGAGAGAGAGAGTGGGGAAGGGGCAGAAAGAGAGGGAGACACAGAATCCGAAGCAGGCTCCAGGCTCTGAGCTGTCAGCACAGAGTCCGACGCGGGGCTCAAACCCACAGACTGCGAAATCATGGCCTGAGCCGAAGTCGAACTTTCAACCGACTGAGCCACCCAGGAGCCCTAATGAAAAATTTTAAATGCCTGTTTCATAGATGGGGTTCGTGGGGGTGAGAAGGCATGTGACACCGTGCCCCGGCACAGAGCAGGTGCTTGCCAAAGGCCTAGGGGAAGGCAGCAGCATCTGCATAGCTCAGCCCAGGGCCCTGCAGGCCTCCGATCCAGCTGGAGCCCACCGGGTCCCCAACCCCTTTTCCTGGCAAACAGGGGAGTTTGCTCACCTGGCCAAGACCCCCGGCGAGGCAGAAATTCCTGTTTTCAGCCGAACATGGACACAGCTGCCAACTAGGTCATCAGAGCATCCGGCAAGTTCCAGGGAGAGGGGAGGCCCCCGTCCGCCCACGTCACAGCCGGTGGAGCCAGGTCGCCCAGCCCAGTAAGCTCCCATGGCATTCCCCGAAGGCACAGGGCCCAACAGGAGCCGGGGCCACAGGAGGAGGGGGGAGGAAGGCAGCCCCCATGGCCCGATCGCTGCCCCACCTTCTCAGTCCCCTGTGCAGTCACCCCTGCCCAGTGCCCAGGGGCCCGTCTCTCACTGGCCAGGTCCAACCTCGTGCTCAGAGCTGACCATTATTGACCACTTCGGGGCTGGTCCTGCCCCGAGCACATGATGTGTGTCGTTTTGTGCAATTCTTACCATCTTTGAAGGGATTTCTATTATTATCAATCTCATGTTAAAGAAACTGAGACTCGAGACTCAGGGTCCCACAGCTGTAAACCGCCAGCGCCGAGGCTAGAAGCAGGTGCATCGGGCTCCAGAGCCAGCCATCTTAACCACGGGGCTGTCCCCCTGCCAACGCCAGGCTCTCTCCCACCTCCTCCACCTAAAGTGTCTCGGCTACCCTAACCCACCTGCCAAACTCCCATTTCAACCCCTGTCTGTACCACCTCTTCCGGGGAGTTTGCCCTGATTTCCCCCCACAGCCCCAGGCTGCTGTGGGCCAGCACAGAAGGAGAGTTCCGACCTGGCTGAGGGCCATGCTTTCAGGACTTAAAACTTTGGGATGAAGACCAGTCCTCAGAAGGAGAAGAGGGTGACAGACGCAGGGGACACAGAGGAAGATGCAAGATGCCAGGGAAGAGGCAAAGGAAGAATCGTCTCTCAACTCCCCCTACTTCCCTCCACTTTCTTCTGGTCTCTGGGACCCGTCTTATCTTCTCCTTCTCTTTCCCCCTTCCCCCACTCTTCTCTTCTCCTTTCCCTCCCTTGGTCATCTCTCCCGGAACCGAACCGCTGTCTCCCTAGAAGCAGTTGGGGCTGTGCTGGCTGCGAGTGGGGAGGGGCAGAGGGGAGGGAGGCCCCAGCTGTTTATAGGGACTGGAGCAGCTCCATCCATCAGCTCTGTTTGGAGCGGGAGACCAAGCATAATAAATACCTTGGCTCCTCCCCAGCTGTGCTTTTCCTGAACTTGGCCATTCGCACTTCAACTCTCTCTGGCCTGCTGGTTCTCAGGACCCAGCTCCCACCCCACCCCACCCTCCTCCCACCTCCCACCGAGCTGCCCTGGAAAGAGCCCTGCCTCTGGGACCAGAAACAGCAGGGCTACGTCTAGGCTCTGCTCTGGGAATAAGGGCAAGTCGCGCCACTCATCAGTACCTCCATTTCCCCAACCCTAAAATGGGGTCACAATCACTGCCCGAATGCACGGTGCTGTTCACATGTTAGGCCTGAGTAGCTCGAGCACCCGCTCTGGGCTGGGCCCTGAAGGGTCCCTGGGAACAGTCAGACAGGCCCCCCGCCTCTGGGGTGGGAGGGATGGGCCACGCCACAGCACAAGCAGGAAGTGGTCAGGCCGTGCGGGAGGTCCAGGTTTTGTACTCGGGAAGATTGTCTGCAGCAGGGAGCGGCCCTTCCAGCTGGAGGAGTGAGGGGAGACTTCGAGGACATCTGGCTGGCCAGGCAGGGAAGGGGAGGATTTCCACGTGTGGACATGGGGAGAGGCTCTTCCAGGCAGAGCAAATGGGAGCCGGCAAAAGCCGGGTCTGGGTGGGGGAGGGAGGAGGCTGCCTATGCCAGCCTCTACCCCAGACTCCCAACTTTGTCCTCTAGGATCCTTCAGCACCTTCCACCCTGACCTTCCAGCCTTCCAGAATCTTCCTTCCTTCCGGAAAGCCTCCGACTCATCCAGTTCTCCCAAGTTGTGGACGTGTTCCTGGAATTCTGCAGTCATGTCCCAACTGCCCCCTGCCCCCGCCCCCGAAAATCACCCTAGAAAGTGGAAGACCCAGATCAGGGGAAAAGTCATTGGCCAATAGCACATGTTTCTGGAATGAATAAGGGCATAAATGAATAAGGGCATGAATAAAAGAGTGAGTCAATGAGAAAGAGAGCAAGTGAGTTACTAAATTCAACCGACAACTCTTAAGGCCCTGCTACGTACGATACTAGGCGCTGTACGTACACGACCCCTCCCCTCGCGGTGCTCGCTGTTTACTGGAAGGAAT